TCAATATTTACTAAATACCTACAGGGTATGGAGCACTGTGATAGGCACTACAGTAAATATTTCCTGGCTTCTAGGAACTGGCACTCTACTGTATTGGAGGGAGAATAGATATACACATATGAAATAAGTAAGGAGCAGTGTAGGAATTAAATGTCTGAGTGATATAAATAAGTTCAGAGAAGGTCAAGGTCAGTGTGAGTAAGGATTATAGTGAAAGGCGTCATGGAGTAGATAGACCCTGAAGTGGGCTCTGAAGATGGTTAGGATTTAAATAGTGTTAGGGGAGAAGGCCAAGGACCTGGGGGTGCTAGAGAACATGGCTAAATTGTGAGAAAGAGGGGTGAGTCTCATTTCTGGATAGTAAAGGAGCAGACCTTTCTCTCCTTTTTCATCAGGTTGAGGATCCCAGGAGAAGTGAAACCTTTGCAGCACGAGGCATGTGGGGGTGTTGTGACTTGAGGAGAGAACCCTGGTTCAGTAAAGACAGAGGTTAAACAATAGGATTGGACTGACCTAATGTGACAGTAACACTGAAGTGGGCATGAGTAGCTGAGGGTGAAGAGCTGGAACTAGCATGGGTAGCCATGGAGATGGATCAGGATATATTTTGCAGGTAAACCCAACTGTATTTGCGGATGGCTTTGATTTGGGAATGTAGAGATAGGGGGAAAGGCGGTATTAAGACTGACTAAGTTTTTGGTTTGAACAGTTGGGTAGTTGTTGGTTCCATGTATTGACAGAAAGGATTATTATGGATATGTTTAGGAGGCAAATCAGTAGTACTGGACTGGTTACTTTAGCTTGAGAGGGCTATGGTAGCTAAGTGGAGATGCCTACGGGGCAGTTAGATTGGTGATTCTGGATCTCAGTGGAGACAGTAGGGATGCAGAAATGTAATTGTTAAGAAAGGAACAAAACTCTCATTAAGTACTAATGTTATTGAGGTTTTTGTGTTGTTAATATTTGTTAATAAGAGCTTTAAAAATTTAAATATTTTTTATTATTCCTAAATCTTTAATTCACTCTGCTAATTAATTCTAGTTATCTAGTTCAATATTGGTCTGGGTGATTTTTTTTAAAGATTTACGTATTTATTTCAGTGAGAGAGAGAGAGAGAGTGCAGGGGGAGGGGCAGAGGTAGAGGGAGAGAGAAACTCAAGCTGACTTCCCGCTGAGCACAGAGCTCATGGGGCTTGATCTCAAGACCCTGAGATCATGACCTGAGCCGAAACCAAGAGTTGGACGCTTAACCGACTGCACCACCCAGGCACCCCTTGGTCTGGTTTATATTTAAAAAAATAACAATTGATACCTGGTATCTTGATTATAATTACTTAAACCAAGAATGACAGAGGACAGCAGAGTTATTAGACAATTAAATAGTATTTAGAGATTATTTATTTTTACTTTTTAATTTATTTTTTAAAGGATATATACACCCTTTTATTTTTTATTAGTTTCAGAGGTAGAATTTAGAGATTGTTTATTTTTATTTATAAACAAACTTCATATGTATTCTTAGTCCTATTTTTACTGTTTTAGCAAGCTGTGAATGGCATTCCTTTCTTATAATACAAATCATAGGCGTCTCATGAAATCATCCATAGTGATAGTAATTAATAGTATTCAGCACTTTTAAATGTATAATCATTACAAGTGATCAAAACTTGGGGGTCATGGAATGACATGAGGATCTTCAAAAATTGCTTCTTTTATTTATTTATTTTTTTAAATTAAAAAAAAATTTTTTTTAATTTATTTGAGAGAGAGAGACAGACAGAAACAGCATGAGAGGGGATAAGGTCAGAGGGAGAAGCAGGCTCCCCGCTGAGCCAGGAGCCCGATGTGGGACTCCATCCCAGGACTCCGGGATCATGACCTGAGCCGAAGGCAGTCGCTTAACCGACTAAGCCACCCAGGTGCCCCAAAATTGCTTCTTTTATATTACCACTGCTTCTACCAGTGGTAGAAGGGGCACTGGAATGAAATGAAAACTGGCCGTGGAAGTCTGGAATCCCAATTCTGTTTTTAAAACATTCCAGCTTGTTCCTGGTTTTCTCTTCATCGAGAGAAATGGGGTGTTTTGGGTAGTGTATTTCAGATTTTTATCCACTTCTCACATTTTGATTACTCTCTCATCCTCATCCCAGGACTGCCAGTTTCTGGTTGCCCTTCTAAAATGCTGTCAGCTTCAACCTGAAGCCCTGAAGTGGGCCAGCTGTATACGGTAGAAGAATTTGAGGTCTATCACGTGCTAAAATTAACTAAATCTTTTCCAGAATGGGCTTGCTTTACTTTCAGCTCTCTTTCCTTTTTTTTTTTTAATTTTTAAATTTTTATTTTGTTTATTTTTAAAATTTTAATTCCAGTAGTTAACATACTTTCAGCTCTCTTTCAACAACCCATTTGATTTTGACCAATGATTTCATGTTTTATTTTGAAATATTTTAAAATATTGTTAGCAAATATATCTCATCACCATTTTTGTTGTTGTTGTTCAAAAAAAGTGTTTTTTGTTGAAAACACACTTCTGCCTGAGACTTTGAGAACTGTGAATGTGTACATAGGCAGCCACCTGGAATCCGCTGAGGTTAATTTTTATGTCTCCTACCTAGCTGTGGCCAGTATGCCCCTTTTATCTTGGATTTTCTAGAATTTTCCTGTTTTCCCCTCTAATTGAACTAGTGGAATTGATTGTGGAGAAAATACGGAGTTAACCATTGTAATTTCTATTTGCTCATCTCATTCCATCCCTACGCCCTGCAACTCTACTGCTACCCTTGGCAGTCTTTATTAAGATTTCTGATTCTCCCACCCATTAACTAAAGCAGAGCGACTTCCAGGATCTTATGGGTATTCATGGCTTTCCAGATAGTTTAAATTCCGTAGCTTAATCATCTATTATCTACCTACTTGTCAATTTTCCATCATTCTCCTCTTCTCTTCAGGCATTCTGAATTGTTTGCACTTCCTTAGAATACATTATCCTGTTTCTGGCTCTTTTTCCTCCACACGCTGGTCTTCCTGCCTTCTTTAGCCACAATTCAGGTCAGTTTTCCCTTTTCTTAAAGGTTGCTTCCCTTAAAAGGGTATCTCACATCTGCTTCCAAGCGGTCCACTTGGTTAGTGCTTTTCAGAGTTTCTTGCTTCTTTCAGCTGCTCCCAGTGGGACACCACTTCCTTTACAAGTGTCCTTGTATGGAGCTCTGGGACACAGTCCCAGGGATGAAATCCTGCTACCCCAGCCTGGCCAGTGGTGGAGATGTGGTTGGGGCAAGCCACAGTTCCTTTATTTCCTGGTTCCTTTATTTTTCACACACCATAGATACGGCTGGGTCAGACTTTAGAGAAGAGTTGGATTACATAAAGGGAATTATAATATAGAAACATTTAAAACCATGGCTAAAATACAGTTTTTCCCCTGCCCAAGGGAAAGCATCCAGGAAGTTGAATCCTTCAGAGAGTGGCTTCTTGTTGACTTCCTTTACTTATTCGTACTCAGGACCGTACCTCCGAGGGCCTTTTTCTACTCACTGCGCACCTTTTGGGAATCTCATCCCCTAGCCGTGGGGTTGGATTTGGCCCAAGAGTTATTTTTCTCAGCAGTATATTTCGACAAGTTTGAATTTGTTTGGCTACCGCGCCTATCAGCATTGTCCACGGTAGGCTTTGACATCAAATCTTGAGGAGTAGGCAAGAGTTTGTATTATTTTCTCCAACTCTGATCATTAAATTCTTATAGGATAGCTATGATTAGCTTCCTTATTGGTAGTTTTTTTTTTTTAATTCTTTCTATTATATACCCCACTACCTTTGTCATATCCCTCCAAAAGCCTGTCAATATCATTTTGTGCAAACTCCCTTTTGTATACCTCTGGCAATCTGGCATAGTTTTATCATAGCATTATGCCACAATAATTGATTTGCTTGTCTGTTTTTCTAGCACATGGAATTTAGTGAGTAATCAATAAATGTGTATTGCATGATAAATGAATCAGTAAAGGAAACTGGGATCTGTTATCTTCTGAAATTTACTCTACCTCAGCAGTTCCTTAATGATTAGGCATAAGATTTCATAGAGAACTAGTTTATTTTCTAGCGATTAAAATATGTTGTCTGCAGTTGAAATTTCTTTGTGTTTCAAAATTGTTTTGGCTTGCAAGTCCCTTGATGAGGGAAAAAGGATCAGAGAACTGCTGAGGCCCAGCTTACAGTTAGTTATTTCTTCCCACCGCTGGAGCTGTACTTTGTTCAGTGTTCTGTCTTGGGAAGGTAAGAAGGAGCTGATATGAGAGTTTGTCCTGAGAATCAGTTTGTCCTGAGAATCAGTATGTCCTCATCCAGTAAACAGCAGTCAAGTGCTATTTGTTGTATTTTTTTCTTAAAGAGTTTATTTATTTGAGAGAGAGAGAGAGGGAGGGAGAGCACACATGGTGGGAGGAGGGGCAAAGAGAAAGGGAGAGAAGCAGGCTCCCCACTGAGCAAGGAGCCCGATGCAGGGCTCGATCCCAGGACCCTGAGATCATGACCTGAGCCAAAGACAGACACTTAACCGACTAAGCCACCCAGGCGCCCCTATGTTGTATTATTGATTTAACCCTTTGCTTATTCTGGCAAAACGTAAAGTCTTTTTACATATAGGAAAACTTCTATTGGTGGTATAATTTCTGTTTAAAAGCAGGAAATAAAAGTTAGTGAGGAATGGAAGAAGAGAAATTTTCCTTTCTAAATGTGTGCATTTATGTATAAGTGTACAGGAAATTCATGAAGTACTTTTAAATTTACATGTTCGATTTTATGTGAAGCTTCTATGTAAGAGGATTTAAAAATCAGTGCGCACATTTAGAGCTAAGCCATTTGGCTCACTGTTGCTCTGTCATACTTATTTTTGGATATTTAGAACATGGATCTCTTGAAGAAGTTGTCAGCAAAAGTTTGTTTTCTTTCTCTAGAAGTAATAAGATGACTACGTTTCATATATTTTATTTGACTTCTTACAGAAATTTCAAGAAATTGCTGAAAAAAATATGGAAAAATTGAATCGTATTGAGAGGTCACATGAACAGTTGGTTCTTGAAAATTCACGCTTCAAACACATGTTATCACAGACTCAAAGGGAACAAACATCGTTGCTGGCAGCCTGTGCATTGATGGCTGGTGCCTTATGTCCTCTCTACAGCCGATCGTGTGCCTTATCTACACAGAGAGATTTTCTCCAGGAGCAGGTCAACACCTTTGAGTTGTTCAAACTGGAAGTTAGGACTCTAGCCCAGGCTTTGTCAAGTGTAGATGAAAAGAAGCAAGAGGAAGCCAAGATGAAGAAAAAACCATTCAAAGGATTGATACGTGTGTTCCGGAAAGGTGTTATTGCAATTTTGGCAGCAAATAGGCTCAAGATTTTGGGCCAATCATGTGCCTCTCTTTTTACCTGGATGGAAAGTTTCAAAGAAGGTATAGGCATGTTAGTGTGTACAGGAGAGCCCAAAGACAAGCATAAATTTCCAAGTAAGATCATTTATGCTTTTTAAAATCTAAGTTGAAAACATACAATGTGACTATGTTTACCTATTATGTAAAAACTTAAAATCATTTAATATGTCAAATCATGTAACATAGTCCCATGTATATATAGATATGTATGTCTGTATGGGTAAATGTATATTTATTCATAAATTGGTTTTGATTCTTTTGTTATGACTATTAAAATTTAAAGAAAGCAGCAAATATAATTTCAACTTTGTCTAGCTTTATTATATATATATATATATATATTTAGCTTTAATATATTTGAATGCTCTTTTCACAGTAAAGTGGAGAGTTTATATAGTGATTTTTCAATTAAGTCAATCCAGAGACTCTGCCCTATTTAAAATTAATTACCAGTATAATTTATTTTCACTTTCTATGAATCACTATAAAATGATCAGAGTTAAATGAGGAATTGAATGAAAATGAGACAAATGTAAATGTTCCAGTTAAATTTTTTTAAATGCTTGACTATTCTGGGGAAACAATGATTTCAATTATTAACTTTTAAAAATCAAGCTATTAAGTAATATAAACAGAACTAAAGAAAAATTTTCTTCTCTCTTTGTTTTGAGAAAGGGAGAGAGAGCGAGTGAGAGAGTGCATGAGCGAGGGTGGGGTAGGTGGGGAGGGACAGAGGGAGAGGGAGAGAGAGAGAATCTTAAGCAGGCTCCATGCCCAGCGTGGAGCCCGACATGAGGCGCGATTTCACAACCCTGAGATCATGACCTGAACCGAAATCAAGGGTCAGATGCTTAACTGACTGAGCCACCCAGGTGCCCCATCCTCTCTCTCTCTCTCTCTCTTTTTTGACTTCACCTAATTCATGTAATATATAAATAAATTCTCCGTCAAATCTAACATTTCTTGTAGACTTTTCCGTACTAGGCAAAGTTCTGTCTACAAATTTTGATCTATTTCTTTAATAGCCAAGCGTTGCTATGAATTTTAAACATGGATTTTAAATGTTTGTAGCATTGCAAGATGGATTTCTTTCTTTTTTTGCAGAGCATCAGAAGGAGCAGTTACGTTGTTTGCAAGCGCTCAGTTGGCTTACCAGTTCTGACCTCCTAGCTGCAATAATCACCTCTATGGCTGAGTTACAGGAAGTCATTAGTAAAACAGGTACGATTCCCTCTTCTAGGTCCTTGCAAAATACACTTACACATAAATCCTAATAAACCATCTAGGAAGAAAATGTATTTCTTTTCATCTTTCTTTTATTCAGGCAGAGAAATGATGAAATCTCTAATGATGTAGAGAATTAATGTAAATTTTGGTGGGTAATTTTGTCTTGATTTATGGGGAAATTAAATGACATTTCTTGTGAATGTATCCACCTTATTTTTTCCCTTTGTGATCTGATTTTCCCACGGAAATCTCATTAGCTTTTTTATTAAGTAATACTGGTAATGTTCTTGCAAATGTTTTAGTCTTTCTTAATTTCTGTTTCTAGCTATACATTTTAGAAGTTTGAGTAATAACAGAACCAGTAGAAAACTTCTTGTTTGGTGATATGTTTTTATTTTTCTGAACTGATTTTAAATAGGGTTAATTTGAATAGTCAGTTTCTTTCCACCAGCCATGGAACCACCTATAATCAGTGATTTCCAAAGGTCTAAAAATTTTTTTCATGACTCAGATTGCAGGATATGTTTGTATGAAAAGTTCAATGAAAACTAACTTCTCAAGAATAACATACAGTTACCTACTGGTTAAGCTATGTCATTGGACTAATTATGGTCATTTCAGACACATTAACAGTAAAAATAATATAACGGATTTGGTAACACTTACCTACTTCATGGAATGTTGTAAGCATTAATGAAATAATAATTTAGGATGTAGTTTAATTCTTTAGACAAGTCTGCTATATACATGCACATCATTTATTGTGATTTCACATATCTAAATCTAGGTTCTTATAGTGGGAAACTTAAGATTCAAAGATTATTTTTAGATTGTGGCCATCAATGTTGGTAAGCCTTATGCATCTCTAATATTTTGGCAAAACCTCAATGTACTGGATTTGAAGTCTGAAATAAAAGTCTAAATAAATGTATTTTAAGTATGTTGGCACTATAGCTTCAGAACAAGATTAACATTCTTTTTTTTTTTTTTTAAAGATTTTATTTATTTATTTGACACAGAGAGAGAGAGGGATCCCAAGTAGGCAGAGCGGCAGGCAGAAGGAGAGGGAGAAGCAGGATCCCTGCTGAGCAGGGAGCCTGATGCGTGGCTCAATCCCAGGACCCCGGGATCATGACCTGAGCTGAAGGCAGACGCTTAACCGACTGAGCCACCCAGGCGCCCCAAGATTAACATTCTTGAAAGAACTTAGTGAAAGTTTTGGGACTTAGTTTAAAAAACAGATTATTTGTGTTCATCATATTCTTTGTAGGTATGCGAACAATTAAAATAGATTGGTTTCTTTTTTTTTTTTGAAGATTTTATTTATTTGATAGAGAGAGACACAGCGACAGAGGGAACACAAGCAGGGGGAGTGGGAGAGGGAGAAGCAGGCTTCCCACCGAGCAGGGAGCCCGATGCGGGGCTCGATCCCAGGACCCTGGGATCATGACCTGAGCCGAAGGCAGACGCTTAACCGACTGAGCCACCCAGGCGCCCCAAAATAGATTGGTTTCTTAAGCTATGATCCTTTTTATATCATTACTTTATCTTTCCTTATCACTGTGCTGTATATGCTTTAGGAGATAAAAGAAAAATATGACTTGGATCTGGACCTCTAGAAAATATGCACAGTGATTATAGAACAAGATTGACAACTTATGAACAACTTTAGGCAGAATGTAATCAAGGATTGAATGAGGAAATACTGGCTTTAAATGTAAGAACCCATAAAAGATGCAGCTCAGAGTAGGCTTACGAGTATTGGGAAGGCTTCAGGGAGCCCATCTGAAGGCTTTACCTGGGCCTAGAATGACAGATAGTAAGTTACAGAAGAGGGACAGCATCCAGATGGAGGGCAGAGCTTTAGCAGAGCTGCAGAGGTGGGAATAAGCACAGAATGGGAAGAGGGACATTAAGGAGATGGAATGGAGACCCATGCCTTGCACGGCTGGCTTATACATGGTGATAACTAAAATGTGTTTTTTATTATAACTATATTGGAAAATAGTGAGGGAAAAGGTGGATCATTGGCATGGGATCAGATTATAGACTTTTTTTTATTTTTTATTTTTTTAAATTTTATTATGTTATGTTAATCACCATACATTACATCATTAGTTTTTGATGTAGTGTTCCATGATTCATTGTTTGCGTATAATACCCAGTGCTCCATTCAGTATGTGCCCTCTTTAATACCCATCACCGGGCTAACCCATCCCCCCGCCCCCCTCCCCTCTAGAACCCTCAGTTTGTTTCTCAGAGTCCATAGTGTCTCATGGTTCGTCTTCCCCTCTGATTTCCCCCCACTTCATTTTTCCCTTCCTACTGTCTTCTGTTTGTTTTTTTTTTTTTTAACATATAATGTATTATTTGTTTCAGAGGTACAGGTCTGTGATTCAACAGTTTTACACAATTCACAGCGCTCACCATAGCACATACCCTCCCCAATGTCTATCACCCAGCCACCCCATCCCTCCCACCCCCACCACTCCAGCAACCCTCAGTTTGTTTCCTGAGATTAAGAATTCCTCATATCAGTGAGATCATATGGTACATGTCTTTCTCTGATTGACTTATTTCACTCAGCATAATCAAAAGGAATGAAATCTTGCCATAGACTTTTTTTAAAAAAAAAGACTTTATTTGAGAGAGAGAGAGAGCATGCACGTGAGTGAGCATGAATGGGGGAGTGGGGGGAGAGGGGAAGGGCAGCAGGAGATGGAGAAAGCCTGATGTGGTGCTTGATCCCAGGACCCTGGGATCATGACCTGAGCCAAAGGCAGACGCTCAACCAACTGAGCCACCAGGTGTCGCAGATTATAGAGGTTTTATAAAACTAGACAATGATCTCCCTGAGCACGTTTTCCAAAAGTGGACTATTGCAATATTTTAAAGTTAAAATATTGACACAATGGTTATTTGAGACCCTGATAAAAATATGTGTAGGTAAGACTTATCAAGTAGAAGGTAGACCGAGAGTGGTGTATCTTTAAATGCTTGCCTACCCCCAGGAACAGAGCCGCCTTTGACGTTAGAATCTGGTTGTGCCTCTAATAGCTTGAGAAAAGGGCAAGTTCAGGGAAACTTATTTTTAGGAAAGGCTTTAAGTGTTGTTGGCTAAAGAACACTAAGTACTTTGGGAAGAGAAAGTGGTAGTTGCTTAGAGGGGGAGAATAATTGATGTATTAAAGTCCAGAAGAGTATAGGGAAGAATATAGTTGGACAGGTAAATAATTGAGTTATTATTAGACTACTACAAAAATGATCAGTGTGTACCTTTTGTGGAGATGGCCTAACAAGCTGGGTTTATGGAAGAAGTCATTCAAAAAATGATGACGGGTTAATATATTAGCTTTTCAAGGTAATGTGTTTTCATTTTTATGTGTATTCTCGTAGTAGAAATTTCAGATATTTTGGCAGAAAGGATGGAAAAATATTCTCAGACACTTAAAGTACATGAGAGGTTATTAACAGATAATAATGAGGGTAATAAATGTAAAGCTATAACAGCTTACGTAGTCATGTTGCGTTTATAACTTAAGTGTATGAATAACTTAAATATATGGTAAGCATTATCGTAGAGTAGAAAGAGCATTAGCTCTGAACAAGGCAGATTTTATTTTGTATCCAGCTCTGATCGTTATTAGTTGTGTGAAATTGGGCAAGTTGCTTCACTTTACCGGACCTCAGACTCTTTACCTAAAAATGGCGATGGTACTGTCTTCCTGGTTTTTGTGAAGGTGTAATGAGATAACACTTGTGGAACATTTTGTACAGTACCTGGCATATAGTGTGCACTAACAAAGCTGTTTCCTTACCACCCATCTCATCGTGAAAGTAGTGTATTACATTAATGAATAGATATACACACTTCTGCCTGTACACACTTACAGACTACTAATTATTTTCTATTTCTCTGTGTTCTTCCAGTCTGTTTTATTTCTGTGTCTATCTTTCTGTCTGCCCACCATTTCTTTTTCTTACCCTTCCTCCTTCCTTCCTGCTGCCCACTCATCCATCTACTAACAGAGTAACAAATGATAAAAATGTTCTTGTAGGCCACATAGTGTTTTATATTTGCTTTTAAAAATTATTATTATTGTGGGACTTGAACTCACCACCCTGAGATCAAGACCTGAACTGAGATCAAGAGTTTGGAAGCTTAACCGCCTGAGCCACCTGGGTGCCTTGCATTTAAAAATTATTTTGAAATGACTTCAAACTTACAGAAGAGTTGCAGGTACACAACAGAGACCTTTTCTTTTGCTGAACAATTTGAAAGCAAGAAGCGGACATGATGCCCATTACTTTCTCAGATTTTAGTGTGCATTTCAAGCAAGACATTCTTCTGCATAACCAGAGGGCTGTGATCAATGTTAGGAAACCATTCACACCCCCTTCGACTTTCCTTAGTTGTCCCAACCAACCGTGTCTTTTAGAGCCAAAGGATCTGGTTTAGAATTATGTGTTGCAGTAAGTCATCTTTCTTTCATTCAGGTACAGAGACTCCCCCAACACAGAAAAGTTCCCCAGTCTTTCCTTGACCATCATGATCTTGAAGATTACAGGTCGATTTTTGTAGAATACCCTTCAATTTTGATTTGTTTGATGTTTCCTCATGATTAGATTCAGTTTATGCATTTTTGGCAAGAAATCACAGAAATGATGCTGTGTTTCACTTATGGTATGCTGTCCTAGTGTTAGCTTCAAAACAAGTCATAGTTCTAGAGGATTTTCTTATTCTTCTAGAGAATGATTTTTAATGTTTGGGTAATACTTATCAGTTGGGCATTTCATAATTTGTTTATCCAGTTCACAAGAGGATCTTTTCATCATAGGACAGGTAACAGGAATATCAGTTCAGCTTTGATTTGTAATTGATTCATTGTCTCTTGAATCACCCAATATTATGAGTAGTGTCTTAATTCTTTCAACCAAGTGGGATATCAAAATGCCAAAATCTTGGGAAGGTTTATTAAGGAAATAACCTGAAA